GACGTGTAGCAAGAAGTGGAAGAGGCAATATCTCATAATGTTGTGCCAAATGAAAAGCATTATCAAGGGTGGCGGGAGCAAGTGCATACACAAGTCCGACAAGATCTTGACAAAGTGTTGGCCACAACATTCCTAGCTTGATCCACTCTGACATATTGGGCTCTGCATGAAGCAAAAGACTTCAAACACCAAATTCTACGAACACTAAATTGCATCACCGACTCATATAACCCTTGGCAAAGATGATATAATTGTTGGAAGGCATCATCATAGTTGTCAGCATGTCCAAAGGCGTGTTTAAAGATGTCCAGGAGAACACTCCAATCCGCACGAGTAGCTGCGCTCAAACCATTGTACCACTACAACGCCGTCCCTTGGAGACACGTGGGAAACTCACACAAACATCGAACATCATCCCAAGAATGATGTGTGGCAATCACCGTGAAGTGATCGAACCAATGGTACACATCATCCCTATGATTCCTACGAAAGAACTTCGGCCGAACGCAAAGATTGGCACCAAGAGCAAGAAGAGTTGTACTACGTGCCATTAATACCACCATCAACTAAGTTTGGTTGTTCAATTGCAAGCATATAGCATCAAACAATTGTACCAACTGCTACTCCAGAGTTAAAAGAAGAGATTGCTAATCTACTATGAAGATGAATAAAAAAGAAAGAGCAAAAGGAGAGAAATGACAAAAAGCTAGAAGAAAATGGTAGATCTAGACAATGCAAAAAAGTTAGATCTAAACCAAAATCCTGAAAGGAAAAAACAAAAAAAAAAAAGGAAATGAAAAAAGCTAGATCTAGACGATGCAAAAGCTAGATTTAAACCAAAATCCCAAATTCAAGCACTCCTTAGGGACAATCAAAGGTGCCCCTCATCTCCACCAATGTGAGTGCTTGAAATATGGAAAGAAAATACAAAAAATGTGCATATTAATTAGCCCAAAAACCCTAGCTTATATATAGGAGCGAGAGGTCTGGATTGAAACTAATCCAACAGCTACCAAAATCCCACTACACTAATATTAATATACGGCATCGTAGCCATACATTTGGCCCTCACAACATGAGTATAAAGTTATCTATCAAAAAAATTGCTATTAAATTGAATTATATTATTTAATGTCAGTAATGTATTAGTTAGATTCACTAACTATTTGTAATAATACATCTAGAATTAATAAAATAAACCACCTTCTTATAATACTATTAATTTCTTAGTGTTAAGTATACTTTAGCTTTACTACTTTTTCATAAGTTAATGTTACAATCTTTGGACATTCATTTGATACCTAGTAGTCCCAGCAGAAGCCGCACGCAAAAGGGAAGGAACACCATGGTGAGAGCTCGGAGGGGGAATCTGATGGAATAGCAATGGATTTAAAGTTTTTACTTTTATGACAAATTTAGGTCTCATTATGAATATACTAAGTTTAATGCTAACATTTTATACTAAATTCATTTTACTGGTAGTGTTGTGTAACCAAGTGTAATCAATAGTGATATGCTTTTATTAACATGATTTTTTTTATAAAAAAAGATTACTTATGGCTTATTTGCAAACCAAAAGAACAACTATCAAGGAAATCCCTCAAAACTCTTCACTAAGATACTTTCTAATATTTAATTCAGTTATATTATAATTTCATTTCTCATAATAATCTTATATTTTCGGTCAAGTTCTATAGAATGAAATTTTGCATGCTTTAGTTATATATGCTAGGTCCACTTACAATATCAATATATTCCTACCTTCATAAAATTTATGAATAAAAGTATTATTCATAAAATAAATCAAATTTACAAATATAACACTCCCAGTAGTGTGGATTTGGGACTTTTGGACACGTGTTACTTAGAAATTGTTGGGCTGTAACATTTCCCAGCTATAATGGATCTAAGATAGTGCTAATGAAATGAAAGTGTTAAAGATGGGTTTTACAACATCACAAAATATAAGAATATTATAAGATAATATTGAAGAGTGAATTTGAATATTTAAAAAAAATTAATATTCGGCCTATAGAAGGTTTTTGGTTAAAAACCAGATAATGGATTTGGTATCTGAAGCAGGAAAGAAAATATAAAACAGGTTGCTACACTTTTGAGATATATATTAATATTAATATCCAAAAATAATTTAGTTTTTAGTATTTAGAAGAATTTTTGGTGATATATATCTATAATAAAAATATACTTAAATTTTTAGTATTTTTAACTGTAAGAATAATTAAAACATTTTTAGTCTTCAAGATTATAGCTTTCTAGAATATCTATCTTAAAATTAATGTAAATCCCACCTTAATACATGCAATATATGATATTTTCCTAAATTTCTATTTGAAAATTGTTTTTTATATTTTTATTATAAATTAATAGCTATATTTTATTGTCTTTAAAATAAAATATATGAAATAACATTATATTATCATGTATATAGTAGTATGTTACATGTAATTTTATAATTTTAATTTTTATATTCTTTATAATGTAGGTATCAAAAATCTAATTTATAATACCAAAGAAATTGAGAGGATAAAATGCAATAAAAACAATTTACTCATAGATGATAAGCTGGATATAACAATGTAAATGCTTTTAAAATAAAATTAGAATAGAAACTAACCTAATAGTTTATTATATATTGATAATGTAATTATAATATATAAAATAAAATAACTTATAAAAAACATGATGTAGATAGTAATGAGGTACACAACCCTAAAAAATTCCACAAGATTTCTGCCATGTTTGAAAAGCAATTAAATTTTCACAAACCCAAAGAATTATAAACTACCAAACTAATAAGTGCCCTTGCTAATCTGACCAATGATAAGTTGTACCCATGAGATGATAGGTTATGTATGTCTTTGGTGGCATCACCAGATCAAAATCCAAAACTAGCATAAATTAGTTTGGAGAAGTTTTAATTTTAATTGCATATTGAGTTAAATTTCTTTTAACATGCATAGTTTACGAAAGAAGAATAGAATTTTTATTATGTGTCTGGTTTTACATTTAAAAAAATACATAAGTAAATTTATCTAGTTTGTTACCACATTTACATTAAACATCATAAGCTGGATATATTAAGAAAATATAAACTGACAAAATCTACGAAATACATAATAGCTACTTGCAATACAAGAGATGGTAAAATTCTTAACACATTTTATATATAAAGCCAAAAGTTTTGTATTATTTGAATAAATTTCTGAATTTAAACTTTTTGGGAGGTCATTCAACCCCATACTATTAAAACTTTAAAATGTTTAACTTATAGTTTATTAAAACCCTTAACCTGAAAAAGAATTGTGTACTTTTGTTTAAAAAATATTGCCCTTTATATTTAAACTCTTATATATAATAATAGTAATCACAAAGCCTTTTATAAGATAAATCAAGTTTAAATATAATTAATTTCATTTTAATTTGTAATTATTTATAAATAAATGAAAAAAAGAATAGCAGGAAAAAATAACCAGGAATCCCAGGAAGTAGATATAGAATTCTGTAAATGTAAATTAGTTTTCTGAAATAAAAATATACTTTAATGATTCAGTGAATTGATATTTGTTCTTTTTGAGGTTCTAAGTTATTTCCTGAATTTGTGTGGTCAATAGATTTAACATTTTTAAATTGTCATAGCTTACCCAGACAAGTTTTGATTGAAGCCAAACAGGCACTACAGCCTTGAAGCCTTGTGTGAATTTTCCTTTAATCTCCACAATAAATAGTGGACACTTCAAGCCTTTGGTTAGTTTACCTCTAATTCTGAAACAAAAGTGGATACTTTTGAGAAAGTTGATAGAAAAACACCCAGATTGGAAGAATAAACTCTAGCACAGCAATGGCTAAAAAACACTTCCACTGCGAAGTTAAAGAAGATAGCCTCAAGTGCTGTACAAGATGACGTTCTCTTTCCTTATCTGGACATTTGCTAGGCTTCTCCACATTAAAAATACTTTTGGTGAGCCAGTTTGGCAAAGAAAAAAAGAAACCTAGTCCACAATTCCAATAGCTCTGGATCCTTAAGGAAGTTTTGCCTAGAGCTCATGGAGGACTATAGAGCACAATTGGTCTGTGGCATACTGCCAAAAGTATCAGCATTTGGCTTCTTAGTGTAGAAAATATTTTTGACAGTTAGAGAAAAGCATGAATGGCAACAGCATGGCCATGTCCTTCCCCGCCAAGGACATGACCGCATGGCAAGTGCTCAACCTCAAGCATGAATCTTGACATATCCACTCATGCTCTTGCCATTTGAAACAGGTAGCCCAGCATTCATGCTCCTAGCTGCGTTCCTAGCTTTCTTATTGCTTAGATTCCTAGTGTTTAATGATACCATGCAGAGGTAGCTATGAGGTGCTGGTTTTTATCCTTTCAATGCTTCCACAGTAGAGTTCCTTTGCAAAGCCCTACTTTCAGAACATTGTTTTCTTTAGGGAAGAAGCACGTGGTCACGACAGCTCCCAGGATCAAAGAGTATCGCAGGGTTGAGTAATAGTTCTAAACAAGTTTTACTGCTCATTCAATCTGGACGCCTGCTACTCAGTGAGAGAAGGATTGGAAATCTAGGAGACACTATCTATAGAGAGGTCTCTGTTGGAACCAGCAACGCTACAGGCTGGGTCCAGAAAAATGCTGTTATATCATGCCTCGAGAGGAGAGGACATCCAAGTTATAGCTGCCAAAAACAAGGTGACAGAAGATGAGGCTTTGGACAGCAATGAACAATGAGTCAGCAAGGGCTGCTGTGTGATGAGTCACACCTCTGGAGTTACTTCAGTTCAATCCCAAAGTGGCTCTTTGTGCCATATGATAGGCTTTTCTCTTGAATGTATTGGTCCTAGAGAAAGTATTGGTCCTGTTATGTTATGAGTCTGGTCCTCGAAAAAAGGCCTCCAAGACTGCCAAGCAGTTTCTCACCATGGAATCCAATGAAACTTTTAAAAGTGATGGCTAAGAGAAATCAAGATAGAGTCACTGACTTAGCTAAGTTCATGATCAATGTCTACAACAGTATCATGAGTGTGAGAGATCTGATGAAACATGATGGAAGTGATCTCTTCAGCAAGATTGAGAGCTTTGTAAGTGGCAGCCGTGGTCTCCTCAGCCTTTTGAATGGCGTAGTCTTCCAGCTCCTGCATGCTCTCACCCTCTAGAGAATCAAAATGGACAAGTGGGACAAGGGGTAGATTTCTAGACTATAAACATGCAAGGATCATGTAATCAGTTTTAAAACACTGCTTCCATATGTGATTGTTTCTGAGCGTTCACTTTTGCAAGCCTCAAAGTTTTTTCGCCAGAATCATTCCAAAGTACTTCTAATATTTTGTATATTTAATTCGTTATCATAAATTTAAAGAGCTTCCTAATCATTCACAATTCAATGAGTGGGACATAATAAGATGAGGAAATAGAGAAACTTGATCCATTTCCACAGTTCCACTGGAAGCTAGACAGTGCCAGAGAGTGTTTTCTTTTTCATCTTGAGCAAAGCTTCCAATCAGACTTACAAAGCATACTTGACTCACTTAATCTTTTAGAAAACAATACAAAAAAGAAGAAACAGGGCAAGAATGGAAAATTAGTTACTTGCTCCTACTTTGAGTCTGAAAATTGTAAGCGCTGCTGCTCCCATGACCTAAGCAGCAATGGTAAAACACAAGAGAAAAATAATATTTTTGTTCTTACAGTAGCAATGCTTCTATTGCAGTTTGGGATCTGCTAAAGGAAATACCAAATGGTCTGCCAGTCAGTGTCATTGAGCGCACAAACCAACTAAGATATGTGATGAACATTAGATCTGTTGCTGTGTGAGCATGGGAGAACATTTGAATTGGAGCACGCATTGCTTTCATATTCACAATTCTGGCACTGGTGCGGTGATTTTCTGGTCAGAGAATAAATTAAAAGCTGTAACTCAAGCTGGAATAAGATATCAGACATATAGTTTTCAGACAATTTTATCTTTGAAGATATAGAATTGGTAATTGGATTTACTGAATCATGATCCATTGAAGGTTTTGAACTTATCTTTCTAAACAATTTAGATAGTCACTTACATAGCTTGCCTTTCAATGTGACAAGAGGGAGGATTGACATGCTTGCCATGATCCAAGGAGCTTATTTCAATTGGAAGGGACTCAAAGGTGCCATACTCCTGCAATAAAAATATGCGTGATGAAATGATGAACACAAATCATAGAGACACTTACATAGCACATAAAGAAGCACTGAGTGTATGCATGAGCTTATCAAAGCTGATCAAAGCTGCTTGGATCAACAGCCCACCTTTGCAGAGATTGTCTGGAGACTACAAAAGTCTATTGATTCCCATTTGTAGCAGCTGTTGCCCAGGTAATTTGTCTTTAAAATAAGCAGTAGAAAGTCAAGACATGGAATCATCTTAAAGCATATCTTAAATCATCGATATGCTCTAGACTATCATTTCCTTTAGAGTTTCAAATTTCCTGGGGATGCAAAGAAAAGGTTAAGGACCATATATGATAATCAAGGGAATTGAAGGAATGGAAGTGGTTTACACATTATGGGTGTTGCATTGGTTCCTGATGCTCATTTTGGGGTAGTGCTCAAGTGGATGCTAGGAAATGCAGTAGAGAGGAGCAGGTAGCTTCTACTGTTCCATGTCCGATCTGTTGTCTGAACAATTGCAAATTCTGGTAAGTCACTCTTTAGAAATATCACTTGCATCTGACAAATTGCGTAAGTTGGGCGAGTACCTGTCTCACAAGTTTTGAAGGAAACACTTGCATTTATGGTGACCAAGGAGGCCAGACAGCAAACTTCTCAGGAGCTGCAAAATGTCTACAGACATTTCAAAGTCCTATTGGCTTGCTGAAAACTCAAAGGAAACACTTGAATTACAGGTGAAAGTAGAATTCATTCTTGTAGAGAGTGATGATGTTGATAAGTCTCTGGTGGAGCAAATTGAGAACAGAGATAACATTTGTTCTTGAAGAGTCCTGAACAAACCTTCTGAAAGTACACAAGCTTGTTTCTTGCAATGTGACACACAGTTTTAGTACTTTTCATCAGGAGATTGAGGTTGAGAGTTTCAGACTAAGTTCAGAAACATGCTCCATGCTCCATATTACTATATTGTGCAGTGCATATTGAAATTCTTGAAATTGGTGTTGTTTAGGAATGCTTCACCACCACACTCATCACCACTGCAGAAATTTTTTCACTTGTCTGAAATTCATCTCCTGCTCATCCGAGTGTGAGCCTCAATCTATTACTCATGCTTCCAGAAAAACTGCACAAAACCTAAAACTTGTGAAATGCAACAGTTTTTTCACTATCCTATATCTGAATCTAGATTGGAATATGTTGTCTTTGCTCTTTTAAATATATAAAGCTCCGTTGGGAGATATAGTATACCCAAGATAAATAGATTTTCTTTTCATATTTTATAATGTTAGACATTTTGATTGTATATAAGGTTAAATTTATGTAAAATTTTCTATTATTCATCTCTAGGGAAATGCACAATAATGCAATTAGATAATAATGCAAGTATTGGGGAAGATAAATTCCTTTTTTTTATCATCATTAAATTTGAATTTGAATTTTTTTATTGCCTTTATAAAGAGACTCATATAGATTTTATAGATGCTCATGATAAAACTTAGTAGCATATAATATACACTAATTTATTCTATATTGCACTATTAGCTATAACTTTTCTATCCCAGTAAAGACTTATTTTGGTCCAAGCCAGCGGAATGAATAACAACAAACAAATGGTATATTCTAAGTATAACTCAAAGCAAACAAAAAAATTAATAAACCCAAACCAGATACAAAGCTGAGTTACATTTCAATCTATATATATATATTATACCATCTACGCTAAAAGAGTACTTCCCATTTCCATCAACGCGGAGCGCTTCCTGAGCACTCAGGAACTCGTGCCGTAAAAGCTTAGCCTGAAACTCCTTGGCCTCGGGTGACAGGTCACGAAAGCTCTCCATAAGCCTTCCAACAAGATACAGATCGGAGGACCGCGTGTAGACGCCATCGACCAATGTGTTGTCGTCCCAGGCGCGAAGCCAGCAACTGGGCGTACAGTCTGTCTTCCACACTGTCTCAAGATCGATAAGCATCCAGCTCCCATTACTAGCAGGAAGCTTGAGGATGTTTTTCCATCTGATGTCCCTGTGAACCAAGCCTGCCTGGTGCAACGCATGTAGGCCGTGAAGCGCGCTCTGAATGGCCGGCCACAAGTCCTCTTCGCTGGAAATCATCTGCTCGTATCCCACCGACTGAATGACCACATTGTATCGTTCAGCCCTCACTTTGACGACACCTGACACCAGCCCCACAGCGCCAAGCCCGTACGCTTGCGTCACAAAAGCCGTCGTAGTGAATCCC